ATATTGATAAATAACAAGATAACATGAAAAACCTTTAACTGTGAATGAGTATAAAGAAAATTTCCCCCTTTTTTTTCTTTTGCACTCCATTAATTTCATTACAAATTTGATGTAATTTCAGGAATATTCCCTTTTATTCAAGCAGTTGAATCTGTTAAGTTAAAGTTCAATACTCTAAGTAGCACTAAATAAATACATTTACACACACACACATTGTTTTTTACACATATAAATGGAATTTATATATGTATTCTTAAAAAATTGAAAAGCCAAAATAAATTTTAAAAAATGCAAAAATAAATAGATAAATAAATAGATAGATAGATAGATAAATAAATAAATAAATAAATAAATAAATACAAATTAAGGCTAGAAAATGTATTTTAACTTTGAAAAAATATGAGCTAGCTCTTTTGTGTTATATTACGGTATGCTTTTGGTGCCCCAAGTGCTGTAATATTTCCTTTTTCTAAATGTTTTTCAGCAAAAGTAATTAAACTCGTATTAAATATAATGTAATATAACACATATAGATTAATATAGTCTCAAATTTAAAAAAGCAAACAAAACAATAAAAACAATGTTTCTGTGATGATCGTGTCAGAGAACCAATAAAGTAAGGCAACCTACATTCACTTTGGCCAGTCAGGTGCTTCGGCCCACCTCCTACCTGTCCACTGGTTAGTTGTACCAGTTAAGGTGAAAGGGCAAAGCTGAAAGTGTAGCTGAACTGGAGAGCAAAACTTTGTTATTAAAGTGATTAACATCCACCATGTTAAACCCCGCTGACTTCCATTAAAACGTTAGTGCTATAAAATCTGCTAGCTTAATTGCTAATTAGTGCAATGCAACATCCCAATTGTTAAGTATTAGGCTTGTTGCAAATTCAACATTCAAGTCACTAAGATACTTATCTGACATGTTCAATCATCCATCCATTATCTATACACCGCTTAATCCTCACATGGGTCGCTGGGGTGCTAGAGCCTAAGGACAGGTCACCAGTCTATCGCAGGGCTACACTAACAGACCCACTCACATTCACACCTACATCTACAGACAATTTAGAACCACCAATTAACCTCAGCATGTTTTAGGACTGTGGGAGGAAGCCGGAGAACCCGGAGAGAACTGCATGGGGACTCCAAACTCCACGCAGAAAGATTCTGGTGGGACGCGAACCAGCAACCTTCTTGCTGCGAGGCAACAGTGCTACCAACTGCGCCACCTTGCAGCCCCTAACGAGCCAGGTTTGAACTCACAACCTCCACATGGGGACTGTTGCCCGATACAGGGAGTGCCAGCTCAACCTAGTGAGCTCTTGCAGCACCCATGTTCAATCATGTTGTTGTATTTTTATTTTTTGAATTGAATGCACATTTAGTTTACGCACTGTTTAGATGTAGTTTGCTAGTAAACTAGGCTAGCAGACTGGTAGCTGTGATGTTCATTTCCACCATGTTAAGCCCCATTGACCAACAGTAAAACGTTAGCACCATGAAAGTCTTCTAGCCTAATTGCTAATTAATGCAACGTAACATCCAAATTGTTCATGCTAAAACTGTTAGCGATCTGAATGGTGAAATGGTGAAGAGCCTACGATGCTTAGCTGATGTGGTCAATCATGTTGTTGGAGTTCTAAGTCATTTTCATGGACTTTTAACTTAGCTGCTGCTTAGATGTACCTTGCTGGTTAATTTCACTGTTAGCATTGGTGTTTTCTAAAAAGGTTAAATGTGCGTCAGAAATTGTGATTTTGAAACTGATGAATTATCTGGTTGTACCTATGATTGGGGGAATAAGTTGATTCCATAAGATCCATCCTTCTAACATAGAACTAATTTACTACTGAAGAATAAAATAAAATAAAATAAAACAAAATAAAATAAAATAAAATAAAATGGAACTTTGTTGATCCATTGATGGAAACCTCAGGGAAATTTCTGAATTACTGGCCATATTTATTGGTCAGGTTTTCGAGTCGTGGTGTTCTTCTGACGAGCTGAGACCTCAGAACCATTAAAGAAGTTTGCAGAGATTTGAATCAAGATTTCAGAGACTCCAGAGAGAACCATTTCCAGTTGGCCCAGCCAACACAATGCTGATCCTCCTGCTGGTAGGACTGAACAGTACACACACATACAGCTTCGGAAACAAATAACCTACTTACCTCTCTTCATATCGACTCCACACTGAATTGGAAGTTAGAACAGTGACTCCTGCAAAGACTTTGAGAAATACCTGGGGGGGTTTTCTTTCTTTTTTTTCGCTTCTTTTACATGTGCACAGCTTGTTTTGTTTTTTTGTCTACATTCATATACATCATTACATGAACTCACTATAATTAATATATACAGTTAAAAGTTGTCTTTTGTTTCACTCTGGTTGTTTACTCTCTCTGCTCCCATCACCCCTGAATTCTTCTGAATCTGGTCCACTTATACTGTTTACTTCACAATGTACTTATTATTCGATTTGGCCAGTTTTATTTATTTTTTACTGTCAAAATGTAAAATTTTTTTTTCTGTGATATGAAAAATGACAGTTAAATGTATTGACTCTTCTTCAATGTGTAATATGCATATTTTTTTCTTTAGAATAACAGCAAATATCTGTGAAGTATTTTTTGGGGTTTTTTTGCTACTTTTAATATAAGAAAATATATTATAATTTTACAAACAATGTAATATAGTAGATTACTACTCATACAAAAAACTGATTTTTGATGTGGAAAATTATTGACATTCTTTCGTGTGTTTTCTCTCACCGTCCACAGACGTACACTGAAGTTTATCTACTGATTCTGTCCAGGGTGGAGCAAACCTCTCAACCAAAGTCAGCTGCTAGACTCCAGCACAGCTAATGGATGGAATGAATACATGCATGTAGTCATTCCTGCAGCCTCCAGTGAAGAGGCGACGCTTCCATTCGTTGCACTTTAAACAGGCAATACAGTGAGCTTTACAGCAGCCTGGTTTTCATATGCACACACACATTACACACAAGAGTCACGTGAACGCAGACATAAACCTCCACAGCAGTTGCGCTCACACTCATGCGCACACGTGCACACGCCGGCGTGCTAAGTGAAGTATGAAGTGCAGACCGCCTTGTGTGTGGAGGCCTTTGCTTGAGTGGAATCATTAAAAACGGTCCGTGGCTCTTTAAGTGGCGTCTCTGCTTCTCTCCCG